GTGTGTGTGTGTGTGTGTGTGTGTGTGTGTGTGTGTGTAGGGGGAAGAGGAGGTCACCTTTAGGGACCTCTAGAATTAATCCCCCTTTCTGCCCAAATTAAGGAGGGTTGGCATTTGAAAAACAGCACCCTCTCTCCAAGCAAAACCAAACAATGCCGTCGAGTTGATTCCGAGTCATAGCGACTCTATAGGACAAGGTAGAACTGTCCTGTGTGTTTCTGAGACTGGAATAGTCCTCTGGTCCCACTGCCTCAAGCCCAGACACTGAACACTGGAATCATGAATTTCCACCCATAGCACTAAAGGCAACCTGGACATTCCTCCCTAAGGCCCAAAGAAGCCTCCGTTCCTGAGGCTCTCACATTAGCATTTCCCCCAGCACACCGGACGCCTTTCCTTAACTTCCATCTACAGCACCTCATTCCTTCACTCGTCCTGGTACCTCCTCCTGGCTTCACCCATTCTCACTCCATGGTCCCTCCCAAGAGGCCACACTGTGGAAGAGCTAGCCTGCGGATCTGGATGGATACTTGAGAGCAAGTCTGGTCCCTCCCCATGCCCCAATGTCCCAGGGGAGCAACAGACATGCTAGGTAAAAAGGGGACTGTGGTGCCTGGGGGAATGAGGAGAGTTGCGTGTGTGTGTGTGTGTGTGTGGGGGGGGGGGGGGGGGGGGGGGGGGGGGGGGGGGGGGGGGGGGTGGGGGGGTGAGGGGAGTGTCAGAAACCAGGTTTAGCTCTCCATCTACCAACACCAGAACTCCGGAGTATAATCCAGGAAACCGGGGCAGAAGGCCCAACCCACAGAGCATGCTGTTAAACCTAAACTCCGAGGTGAGTCTCTGAATTTGGGATGGGGATGCACACTGGGTGACAAGGGATGGGTGGCAATCTGCCCAAGGCTTCTCTTTCAGATCTAAGAAAGCACATTGCCAACTCCTTTAGCCCTTTAAGCTTGATGAGGCAGTGTGGGGATCCTTGGCTGGTGAGGGTAATAAACTTAAGACTAGGGGGCAGGGAAAAGGAAGAGCATACTGGTACAACGTAGCAGTGGAGAGAATCTCCAACCAGGCTATGTGTCTGTCCACATTTCACCTAGAGGGTGTGGAGGGCAGCCTAGACTGCCCTGAGCATCCTGAAGTGTCTCTGCCTGCCTGCCTGCCTGCCAACCTGCCTGCCTGCAGTTCATATGCAACAGGCCGGCGGGGTCCTCCAGAGACTACTGAGACAGAAGGGAGGGATAATGTGCTTGTGGCTGGCATGTTGGAAGAGCTGCAGACCTTCTGTGGTGACAGTTTAATTCAGTGGGTGTGCTGCTTTTCTGGGTGTGTGTGTGGAAGCCTTTGTTTTAACAAAAAAAATTAGGCTAAAGTCCAAAATGTAAGAAAAAAGCTGGACTGCTCTGACCAAAGCCAGAAAGGAAATGGAGAAGATGCCTGGTCCTCTCTCAATATCACCCTTCCCCATGAGGGGACTCTAAGGAAGGCCCCTTGAAAACCACTGACCTAGAAGATGGAGAGGGAATAGAGTCTCAGATGGTGGAAGAAAGATGACATTATTTCATTTAAGAGCCCGAGAGGACAAGAAGAGTCTTTCACGAATCTCTTGCTAACTCTGATGTTGGTGACTTTACCTTGACCCAGAAGGAAGGATATGCCTCTATCATGCTCAAGAAATCAAACCCGACGACCGTGGCATGCTTCTCAGCTATGTAACGCCGCATGTCTTCAGAGAGGCTCGGGAGAGGCTAGAGGACCTTCTAGGGCCTCCAGAGTCTTGATGCTTCCAAGAGGCTTCGTGGTGCCCTAATTTATGGTGCAGCTCTATCACTGGGTAGGGTTTGAACAAGGATGACAGCACCTCGGGTAAGAGCACGGACCAGCATCCAGGTGGAAGGAGAGACGTCACAAGCTGAGATGCAATCCCCAGTACAGGAAAGAGGCTTGTTGGACGGTGTTAATCTAAACCTTCATCTGTTCTACCTCTTGTGGCTCTCTTATCTGCTGATGGTGATCACTTGGAGCCTGTGTCACAGTCCATAAACTACTCTGGTTGTCCCTTTCCAGGGAGGGGTTTCAAACTGGACTACGGATTGCCCTTTTCATGCCAGGGCACTGAGCCTGTGGGGTCTGGACTACTGGGGGTGGGGGGCACAGAATTAGACATGGAAATGCGTCTCCACTGTGGGATGGGCCACTTGCTGCCTGTTTCACAAGCACCCACATGTTCTCTTTGCACTTGACAGAGATTTTATGGCCTTTCTCAGGAGGGTGTGCTATCTCACAATGATCATGGACCTCTAGTGACTTAAAAAGGGCAGAGTGGGTTTCTTATGAAATCTGGTGTTACCGACTGAACTGTGCCTCTCCCTCTACCAGCAGCAACAAGAAAAGGTACATGTAGGGTCTAACCCCTGTTCCAGTGAAGGGAACCCTGTTTGGAAATAAGATCTTCAAAAATGTCATCATGCAGCTTAACTTGAGATAATGCTATAGTAGGTTAGGTCAATGCAACATGACTGGTGTTCTTAGAGAAGATACACAAAAGGAGAATGTCATGTGGCCCAGTAGCTGCCAACCAAGGAAGACCTAGAACAATCCAGAACTAGGAGAGAGGAAAGGAACAGACTTGTCCTCAAAATCTCATCATGAATCAGCACAGCCAACATTCTGATCTTGGACTTCCAGCCTCCAGAACAGAGATAACGCATATTTGTTCTTTCAACCCGTTCACTGTGGAGGGTTTTGGGATGGCAGACCTAGGAAAGAACATACCTGGTCAAGGAATAGTGCAGATTGGACTCGGAGTTAGCTTTGCGAAATACCATTGAGTCAGGTGTGACTCATGGCAACCCCATGTATGATAGAACCTGTTCATCACCTGTTCCTGTGCCATCCATCGTCCCATGCCTTGCTGTGCCCATGGTTCCAGCCACGGTGTTAACCCATCCTTTTGAGGGGCTTCTTCCTTTTTCGGTAACCTTCGATTGAAGCAAGCATTATGTTCTTCTCAAAGGACATGATGACATGTCCAAAATATGTGAGATGAAGTCTCACTATCCTTGCTCCTGAAGAACATTCTAACTATACTGCTTCCAGGATCTATGTGACTATCCTTCTGGCAGTCCATGCCATATTTAATATTGTTCACCAACACCATAATTCAAAGGCAGCCATTCTTCTTTGGTCTTCACTATTCATTCATTGTAAAGACCATGGTTTGGACCAGTTGCACCTGAGTCCTCCAATCGACATCTTTGCTTTTTAACACGTTACAAAGATCTTTTGCCATCGATTTTCCCAATGCAATCCATCGCTTGATTTCTTGACTGCTGCTTCCATGGGCGATGATTGTGAATCTTTAACAACTTCAATATTTTATCCATTTATCAAGGGGCTGCGGATTGGTCCAGTTGTGAAGACTTTTGTTTTCTGTCCCTTGATGTAGAATCCACATCGAAGGCTGTGGTCTTGGATTTTCATCAGTAAGTGCTTAGCTTTCTACAAGCAGGGTTGTGTTTCTGCACATTACTGATTGTTAATAAACCTTCCTCCGATCTTAATGCCACATCCTTCGTCTTATACTCCAACTTTTCTGCTTAGCATTATCTGCTCAGCATAAAAAATGAATACGTATGGTTAAAAAAATACAAACCCTGACTGTGACGCAAACCTTTCCAAATTTTAAATTATGCAGTATTTTCTTGTTCTGGTCAAATAACTGCCTCTTAATCGATGTACAGATTTTTCATGAGTACAATGAAATGTGATGGGATTCTAATTTTTCAAAATGCTAACGAGAATTTGTTGTGATCCACACAGTTGAATGCCTTTGCACAGACAGTAAAACACAAGTAAACATCTTTCTGGCAGTCTTTGCTTTCAGGCAAGATCCCTCCTCCATGCATCCCTTGTCCCCTGATAGTCCTTGTTTCCTGTCTTTTGTCATTTCCTCACTCATGTCGTGCTGCAACCGGTTTTTGAATTCTTTTCAGCTAAGTTTTATTTGT